AAACTGAGGGCATAGATAGCTCCACGGTGCTCACCATGACTTCGACGGCTAGCTGGTTGAGTTGGAGTCGAGCCAGAGCTAGCTTGACGATAGTGATGGCGATGGCGGTGGCGCGGACTGGTGACAAGGGCGACATTCCGGCGAACCCTAGCCAAGACATGATCAACGGTCAAGCATACTAGCATCATAGCATCAAGGAGAGCTCGGAACTATAGGCGGTTGAACGGGTGGCTCACGGATTGAGCTGGCCACGGTGGAGGGTGTTGGTATTTATTAAGTGCAAATAGAATATGAAGGATTTCGTAAGCACACAGAATACTATTGTAGCATTTTACCGGGAGTATTACAGGTATCGTTATTTATATTTTACCACAGGGAAACAATGGAGTAAAGATTTATTAGATAACAAAGGAATGTCTACTAATCAACATACCAGCTAGCTAAAGCAGGGGTGGATGTAATGATAGGAATAAAGCATAATGACACTCAGGGGATAGATCACTAACATAATGTAAATTAGTCAACTCGGGAGAACAATGGGTGAAGTAGATTCCTATGATATTCCTATTACATGGTCAAAGTATATATACACCCAACTATAGCTAAGACTAACTCTATTCTTGTGCACTTCAGGACGCCGCTTAGATGGTAGAGCACCGACAATAGATAACTCTACTGACGTGACTATGGTCCTACAATTTAAGAACCTGCTCAATTCGGAGTGGACTACAAAGGATAGACGGGGTTGTCACCTCCTGCTGCTACCACCCAACCAGAGAACATGGTGCACTCACAGGCAGAGCATCGTATAAGCACCATGCTTACATGAGACTCAGCTACTTAGCCTAACCGGTAAACTAGCAGGCTAAGCGCTCTATGAACCCACACACAAAAGTAATGATAACCATAACTAAGCAAGATATATATTCAAAGTAAGTATAGCCATGTAGATAAGAATATGATAAATTGATAATAAGTCTTACAAGATGTAGAAATAAAGATACAAGGCTTTACCTAGCCTCCAAGACTAGATCCGGAAGCCCAACTCGACCCTCACTCCTGAGCTACTAATCTACTACATTGGAGAGCTATAGACCTAATCCTCCTGGTGTGTGTTGATCTGAATGAGGGATATGAATTAGGGTTTTAGGGATCTATTGAGGGAGGGCGGTAGGGGCTACAATTTATTAGGGGCGCCAGGCACCCTTCCCCTCTGAATAGCCTCATTGGTACTAAACTTTCCACCATATCTCATTAAAATCCCGTAGCTCATAATGTGAAGTTTTTCTTTTATTTGCGAAATTTATATCTTTTCATTTCGAGCTTCAAATATAGCAAATAATATATCCGTTTCGATCAGCTCAACAAGCTCTTAGCAATGGTGCACTCCAATTCATAATTTGAGATAGTTTTGTTCTGTGACAAATTAAATATCCTACGAGACAAGTGATAGCACCAAAACTCGTGGAACTTGTTAGAATCAAACCCTATAATTATGTTTGGTGATGGAATTAAGCATATATGTAGGTTATGTTGATGATTTTTAATTGACATTAACAACCATCAATAGAGGGGTGTGCGGTGGCGTTGACGAGCTATCGCGGCAAGAAGCGGCGGCGCTTCGAGCGGGCTCAGCAATTGCGCAAGGGCGAGGCGGACTTAACTGCAAGAGCAATCAGGCAGTGGGTGACTGGTGGCGAGGAATTTTGGCCGGCGAGAGTGAGCTCGACGACGGCGGTAGAGAGAGGGAAAGAGGAGAACGGTGTCCGACTCAGGCTAATAACGGCAAGGTCGACGTGGGCACGGTTGCCAGCTCCTGCTTGAGCTCGGACATGGCAACAGCTGCATGTCCACGCATGCAGAGGTGGTGCTGGAGGGCGGCGGCTCGCCGGTGAAGGCGGTCAGCAAAGGTTGCCAGTGATGAACGAGATCGCTGAATCTCGATCTTCTCTCTCTTTTGTCCAGATTCTAAACATCAACTCAACATTCTCCAAGAACAAGACATGTTCATCTTCATGTAGGTTCCAACTTTGCTTAAGGAACCTGATATAAAAAACCTCACTAGTTTTCAAAATCTTTGTTTCCAAACAAGAGTACTTTGAAACTAAAAAAGCAATTTCAGTCTAGGGTTTTGAAAAAGTGATTAACTTAGCATCTTAGGTGAATTAATTGGTGATTAATTAGTTGACAAAAATCTCAACCAAAACCACCATTGGTTAGTACAATCTTTGTACCAATCAATGATACAATGGTTGAAGCAAGTTTATTTGAGAAGTTCATTTTAATAAATTCCCCAAAATGGAACTTAAATGTTGAAATCCACAACTTAGCCAAAAATGGTTGTGTTGAAATCACATTTTGAATTCACATTTGTAGCTCAAATTTAGAAGTTTGGACTTGAATTCATACTCCATACTTGACACTAGTGTAAAGCACCGACTTTACACCTCAAAGTTTATTAGAGCATAATTTCAAGTATTTTGGTGAAATTCAAAAATAGAAGGTCGCAAAGTACCTTAAAAGATATTTTTTGGCTTGAACTCAATGCATCACACATGCATTGCATTGCTAGCAATTTAACATTGATTTTAGTGGATGCAAAGCTTAGTTGACTACCATGGATGCTTATCATGCATGATAATGACATGCTCAAGTTTTAGTGGTGCTTAACACCAGGGGTGTTACACGCGGGTTTGCGGGTTCGGGGACCGGAAAAGTGGCAGGGCGGGTACGGGTTTTATATTCCCCCGTGGGTGCTCGTCTGGGACCCAAAACGTAAGGAGTCCAGTGAAAAAAAGCCCAACAAAGGCTAGCCCATTAACATGTAACCCTAGGTATATGTACGACTGGGTGTCCTCTCCTGTCCACTTCCCACTCGGCCACTCCAGCCGGCAGCCGCTAAGCCGCACTCCGCGCCCGCACCGCACGGCCACACAGGTGCACTGCCCATCGCCGATTCACCACGTCCGCCGGTCCGCCTCCATCCTCCAGTCCGCACCGTCCTTGCGGCCCTCCGTCGGGCATCGATTCACCGCTACCCCTACTTCTGGTGCCCTAACGAGGTCACGAGGACGACCGGACGTGGTTCGCCGAATGCCGCCACGCCGGGTCCTCCACTCCTCTGTCATGTGCCATCTGCCCCTAGATCCTCCTCCGCCACCAATCGCCTGTGGCCCTATGGATTCATGGTCTCATCGGTCCGGGTCTCGGGTCCCTCGTCGAGTTTCAGGATCCGTGGGTTTGGGGCGGGTTGATTTCCCCTAACAGGTTCGGGCGGGTTCGGGTTTCCTTGTCAAGTTTCAAGGGCGGGTCCACGGACACTCCACCGCCCGAACCCGACCGTTGCCATCTTTACTAGGCATTGCCATAGCTGAATCTTCCAACAGTTGGCACGCTAGATAGGGGTCTTTCGCGTATAGATTTATTTTGTATTTCAGATGTATCGTCTTCAACTTCTTGACGAACGAGGAGAAGATGCATTTGGGCGAGAAGATCTCTTTTGGCAAGCTCGACTTTGGCTCTGCTTCGCTTTTCTTTGAAAAGTCATGGTGAAAGTATTGTTCGTTGATTTGTTATAAGAGAAAAACACTATTCGTTCGTTGAAATAGTACGACTCATAAGACAAGCGAACAGAGCCTTTATCGCTGACCAACTTGGGAACCTATACCTGCAGAAACCCAAGACGTCACTCTCTACATCCAGAAGGTTGAGGAGCCCGCCCCTAAGATGGATCTGACACCGTTATCCGATCATGCTCTCTCCTGATCCCCGAGTGGGCCAAGGAGTATGGCGGCGACTCATTCGACTCAGCTTCCACAAGCTGCGGTGGTACCCACCAAACCTGCAGCCTGTTCGGTTGGCTAATTTGTTTCGTTGACTGGTTTGTGTGAGAGAAAAATATTGTTCCGACTAAAAATTTATGATCGTTTACGATAAGCCACGGCAAACAAACAGCCTGCCTGGTTTGATTGAGACTCGAGAGAATCGCTCGCAGGGCTGTCTCTTCCTTTTATATGGCCTGGGCGGCTGGGCTGGAGTAGCTTGTTTCCGAGTCAAGCAATGGACTCGGACTCGGACTCGGTGGTCTCCGATGTAGGCACGTTTGTTCCGTAATTCCGTTTGCCTGTGAGCTGTGTGCCTGTGTACATGTTGCAAACGGAAGAACGGAAGCAATTACTCAAGACTCAAGAGCGGTATGGAATATGGTTGCCTGCCTCCTAGAGCAACCTAACAGAATCACAACAAACGCTTGGTAAACATGGTGGTCAACAATGTGCAGAGGAACAAGGACACAACCACTGGACCATCGCCGAATACAAATCATCATATACACAACCAGGAATATTTGGAAGGGAAACGGACCGGGCACTGAAGCAATCAAGGTGGATGTGCTACATCAGAGCAGAGTAGTTCCTCTGCATCTGTACAAGGTCCCCATAAGCACAGGGGGATGTCAATTGATCCCCATTCATGTTTTTTCGTTTGCAGCCCCTACTGCTTGTAAAAACATTCTTTTCCTCTACTCCTACTACATGAAATGGGAAACAATTGCCCCCTCACATATAACATATGCATCCGGCCATCATGACACTTAACATAAGACAGGGATGAGAGATGAAATGGTCGTTTAACTGAATCTACAGAAGGGCAGAGGCTTATTCAACTCGAGGTTGCCTACAGGTCTCCACGTGCCATCTATATATATAAAACACTGGCTCATTAGTTCAGGCCTGCGGTTGCGTTGGCTGGGTGAGTTGGGCTGCATTCTACCGGGCCTCGGGTACAACTGGGAGAGTTGGGCCTCACAAGCTTCCACTGCAAGGAGCCGCTTTTCCCTTTTCCATCCGCAGTGGCAGTGGGAGTGGCAGTGGCTTCGGCTTCCACTGCAAGGAGCCGCGAAGACGGGCAGGGGCAGCGGCACAACGACAGCTGCCTTCCGCGGCCGCCGCTCTCCAACGCCCGCGCTCGTTTCGTTTTGGCGTTCCCCGGCCGCCGCCTCGATGGCAGGACGAGGGTCCCGCCGCCGCCGCTGTCGTCGCCGCAAGAGCACGATCAAGCAAGGAGGGAACGGCGACGGCGACGGCGACGCGCGCTGTCCGCCGGACCCCGGATTCGTTTCCGGGGCAATGGAGGAGGACACGGAAGGAGCCGCCCCCTGCCCCTCGCACCGCGTGCTCTCCTTCCTGGGCCTGGACGCGACGAAGGAGAGGGGAGCGGAAGGAGGCGCGTCTGGGAAGATCCGCGAGGGCCCCGCGGCCGTCCCGGCCTCGACGTCGACGAGCATCCCGCGCGCGTCCGATCTGGAGACCCTCCTGCGCACGAGGAAGCTGACCCTCATATTGGACCTGGACCACACGCTGCTCAACTCCACGGGGCTCGACGACCGCCTCTCCCCCGTCGAGCAAGCCAACGGGCTCACGCGGCACGCCAAGTCTGACCCCACCGCCGGCCTCTTCCGGTTGGGCTCCGCCCGCGTTCGCATGCTCACCAAGCTGCGCCCGTTCGCGCGGGGTTTCCTGGAGCAAGCCAGCGCCATGTTCGAGATGTGCGTCTACACACTGGGCAACCGGGACTACGCGAGGGCGGTCGTCAAGCTGCTGGACCCGGACGGCGCCTACTTCGGCGGCAGGGTCGTGTCCCGCGACGAGTCCACCAGGCAGGACAGCAAGAGCCTCGACGTCGTCCCGGGCGCCGAGGCCGCCGCGGTGGTGATCCTCGACGACTCCAGCGACGTCTGGCCGGACCACCAGGAGAACCTGATCCTGATGCACCCGTACCTCTACTTCGCCGATAGCTGCCGGACGTTCGGCTATGGGGTAAACTCCCTGTCGGAGCTGAGGCGCGACGAGCGGGAACATGACGGCGCCCTGGCCGTGGCGCTCCAGGTCCTGACGCGCGTCCACCAGGGGTTCTTCGACTCCGTCCTCCGCGGCCGCTGCTCCGACGTCAGGGAGGTGATCAGGGCCGTGCGGCGCGAGGTGCTGCGTGGCTGCACGGTGGCGTTCAGCCGGCTCATTCCGCTCGAGGACGTCTCCGGGGAGCACCCCATGTTGAAGCTAGCCAAGCAGCTGGGCGCCGTCCACGCAGCCGACGCGGACGCCACGGTCACCCATGTTGTCGCGCTGGATCCGCGGACTGACAAGGCGCGTTGGGCACGGGACAACGGCAAGTTTCTGGTCAACCCGATGTGGATAATGGCGGCAAGTTTCCGGTGGTCCCGTCCGTGCGAGCAAGAGTTCTCATTTCCCAGTCACCCGCGGCCATGGATCCTCCTCATGTATCCCTGGACAAGCCAATTTGCTGAAGATGCAGATGGGGATGAGGAAGGTGAAGATGCAGATGGAGATGGCTTTGACAACGGTCCAATGAGCACCAGCAGCCGCAAGAGGAGGAGCACTACAGATACATTGGTCAAGCTGACGAAGGGGCTGACAGAAAGGAGGCACACAAAATCTTCGCTCCAAGTTCGTTCAAAGAAGACGTAGCAAGATGTCAGAGGTTGGCTGTGGAGTGTGGGGCAACTGAAGATACAGAGGAGTACTTCATGGCTACTAAGTTGTTTCGAGATGAATACAACCGGAAGATCTTTGCAACATCAGCACAATGAAGGAAGGCTTTTGTGGTTGAGGACATGGTGCTGGGACAGAAGTGTGTGATGATGTTAAGTGATTGGATGTAGTAGCTTAAGTGAAACTTTCAATGTGTGATGACGTTCATGTGAACCTTTAAATGTTTGGCGAACCTTTTAATGTGTGATGCTGTTAAGTGATGCATTTTTTATTACCTTGACGCTATACATTTTTATACATCTTGCTGCTGTCCATTTTATTCTTGCTCTTTGTCTTGCTAATGATAATTCATATGTGCACACAGGTGAATGATGATGAGTATGATGTTAAATCGAAAAGAGGATGAGGGCTAAGGCTGGTCGAAAAGAGTTTCACTTGAGGTATTTGAAGAGGAGGCGAAGAATTGCTATGATTGCTGGCATGATTGGTATGTACTACTTTGACTCGTACATGAACAATTGGAGAGGAGAGTAGCTACAGAAACTGGATAGGAATGGGTCATGAAAACACTAGGAAATAGGACTTCTTGCTACATCATGTTTAGGATGAACAAGACAGTGTTTGATAAACTTCATAATTTGCTTGTGGAGTCATTGGATTAAAGTCCACACGGAAGATATCATCAGTGGAGGCTTTAGGGCTGTTTTTATGGATAGCTGGTGCCCCTCAGTCTATTAGACAGTGTTTGATAAACTTCATAATTCGTTTGCTAAAGTACTGGCTAGTATGAGCAAACCTTGCAGCTAATATCATTAGGCCAGTTGAAGGGTCAAGATGGCAGACTAGAGGGGATAAATAGTTCTTTCTAAAATTAATCGCATAGGCTAACTGAAACAAATACAGAATTAAACTAATCGGTCTAGCCAAGACTATACCCCTCTAAGTTCACAAGAACCTTACAAAAGATTCTAATTGAGCAACTAAGGTGCCGGGTTAGGTAGAGCTCACTTAAATAATTCTAGTTTGTAAGGTCACATAAACCTATGCAACTAGTATTTAAGCAACGAGAGAGTTCCTACACATACTAGTGAGCAAAGCACACAAAGCCTAAGCACACTAGCACTTCTCAACTAGCAAGGCTACACAAGCCAAACTAGAGAGCTCAAATTACTTAGCTCCGCAAACTAAGCAATGTAACTAGTAAGGCTACACAAGCCAACTAGTTACTCACGAGAGCTACTTCTATGCTACACAAGCAAAGAGAGCAACTTGCAAGCTACACAAGCTAACAAGTTACGCAAGAGCAACAACACAAGCACAGTATATGAAAGATAAAAAACAAGCTTGTGTTGGGAGTAAGCAAACCAACGTGAAGATGATGACACGGTGAACTTTATCACGAGGTTTGGTGATATTGCCAATCACCTACTCCCCATTGAGACAAGCTCAAGGTTGTCACCAGTCCTCTTGCTAGTGGTGACCCTCAAGTCACACTCTCCCATGTGTAGTGCTCACCACGAGCTAGCACTCGACCCCGCCAGACCCCTTGACGCTCTTCACACCTCGCTCTACTAGAGTTGCTCTTCGCGATCTCCCACGGGACAACCATGATACCCCTCACAAATCCTTCTCTGGAGCCACGCACAACCTTCACGTGGGCTTCACAATGGAGACCTCAATCCACCAAGTCGTCTAGGTGATGGCAATCATCAAGAGTAACAAGAAATTCCTAAATCACAAAGATTTTATAGTGCCACCAAATGCAATCCTCAGATGCACACACTAGGTCTCTCAATCCCTCACTCAAATTGGCACCAAGCTTGAGAGGGAGAGAAGGGGAGGAGGTGGATCTTCAACCTCTTAACATCACCCACACAGGGCACTCAATCTCTCCTAGGAATTTTCAGCACATAGCTTGAGAGAGAGAGGAGGGGAAGAACCCTAGCTCTTTTTCTCCAAGAGCAAGAATGAGGGGAGGAGTGGAGTGGAGTGGAGGAAAGGAGTAGAAGGCCCTCACCTTATCCTCCAATCGGCCACTGTCCACAGCGCAAACCCAAGGCCCAGCAATGGTCCACGCAGTAGGCGGTCTCCCAACGGCTCCCTATCAGATCTGACCGTTAGGGGCTAAAACGCCCAGAACCGAACCTCCGGTTTCCAAAGCGGAGCTCCGGTGGACTCTCAGCCTGCAGCTTGGACCTACTAAAAAATCGATTATATTCCGAACCTCCGGTCATAATTGGAGCTCTGGTATGGGCTCTCAGATTTCGGCGTGAAAACTAAAACGCCCATAACTTTTAGCTCCGAACTTCAATTTTGATGATCTTAGACATTTTAGAAAGCTTATTCAAAGGACTACACAACCCATTTGAAAAAATGGTCCAAAACACAATGGATCAACCCAGAATTCCAATCCAAGATCCAACCCATAGATTTCGCCACCGATTTCAAATTTTTGCAAACCTTTGAAAACATGCTAACCACAGTATTGCCCCACGGGACACCACCACCTTAGGATCATCTTAGCATTTTCACAAATTATTTTCACAAAGGTTTTTCAAGGATTTTCTTTTGCATTCTCACCAAGTCACTGAGTGCAATGCATATGCATATGAAAACTCACACTTAGCAGCACTAGATAACCGTTGCAACTAAAAGATTTTCTCTCTTTATAGTACGGCTATCTATTCTAAACCCGGTCAAGCATTTTTCTACTCAACTTAGACTGGTGAAATGAAATGCCCTACAAATTATACCTAGCTTACGTGTTCCATTTCATCTCCTCGATGCCACACAAGCACCAACCTCCGTCAAGCCGCTTGTTCATCACAACACATGTCAACACTTGGCTTGATCTTCCTTGAATGATATGATCCACTTCACATCATCATGTGATCTTATTGGTTTATCGATCATAACCTTACTTGCTCTTTACTGTTGCCCTTGTCCATTGATGCCAAGTCCTTGCTCAAGCTTCTCTGCCTCGTGTGGTACATCGCTCCAAAGCCCCTCCACACTTGCAACCGGTCCAACGAAGCCAAGTTAAATGACTCCATGTCATGTCTTATATGCAATAAGCTTCTTCAATGACACAAGTGAGCTTTGCAACACATCCAAGCCATCTCCATCTCCATAGGTCAAGTTGCTCACACTAGTGTACTTGTAGACTAATCACATTTGTATCTCAACATTAACACATATTAGTCCATCTAGGTTGTGACTCAGTTACCAAAACCAAACAAGGACCATTCACCGGTAGATCCTGATTTAGGACTGTGCATCATAGGTTACAGTCTCCTTGTTTTTTTCTCTGTACTCCGATAATTGCATTGGAGCAATAGATGGGACACACGTACCTGTTGTGGTGCCAACTATCAAGACAGTACTTAGCGCGGAGAGCACCTCACAAACAAAATTCACCAAACTATCAAGATAGTACAACATATGGAAAGACATGGATACACCACTCAGAATGTGTTGGCCATACGTGACTTCAATAAAGGCCAGCCCCTTTGGATCATGAGCCTGACTTCTGAGTGATGTTTTCGCTCCAGTCCTTTTCAGGCTCAGGCTCCAACTCCAACTCCAACTCATAGGACGCTTCTTCCAATCCGGATTGCGAATTACTTATTGGAGTCGATTCCGAATTTCCGATGCTGTCCGGGTCCTGGATGTCGTATATATATAGTGCTGCATCCCCTGTCGCTTGGTTGATTGGTGACGATGGACACGAGCGGCAACTCGCTGCCGTCCCCGTCGTGCCCCGACGGCAAGAAGCGGGAGGTGTGCTACTACTACGACGCCGGCATCGCCAACGTCGACTACGGCGAGGACCACAACATGGTGCCCCGCCGAGTCGACATGGCGCACGCGCTCGTCCGCTCCTACGGCCTGCTCCACGACATGAAACGCCTTCTCACGAGGCCCGCCAGCGACGCGGAGATTAGGATCTTCCATGAGGCGGACTACGTCGGTTTGCTGCAGAACCTCACCCCCCGGAGAGCTTCAACGCCGGCGGCGCGACCATGAGCGCAGCAAAGGCGCACAATATAGGCGTGCTCAAGAAAGGCGACACTTTCTACGACAACCCGCCCATAGCCGGCCTCTGGGTACTGCCAGCGCTACGCCGGCGGGTCGCTGGCCGCGGCGCGCGCGCTCGGCAGCGGCAAAGCCGACATCGCCATCAACTGGTCCGGCGGCATGCACCACGCGTGCGAAGCGGAGGCCAGCGGCTTCTGCTTCGTCAACGACATCGTGCTCGCCATAAGGCGCTCCTCAAGTACTTACGTCGACATCGACGTGCACCACGGCGACGGCGTCGAGACGGCCTTCCTCGACTCCAACCAGGTGATGACAGTGTCGTTCCACCAGCGCACCAAAAAATTCTTCCCGGAGGAAAGGGGATACGTGAGCCACGTCGGCGAAGGGGCCGGTCAGTACCGTGCCTTGAACGTTGCGCTGATGGAGGGCGTGGCCGACGAGGGGTACTGCGAGATGTTCAAAACCATCATGAAAAGGGTCGTCGACGTGTTCCAGGCTTCCAGCCGGAGGCCATCGTGATGCAGTGCGGCGGCGACTCGCTCTCCGGCGACAGGCTTGGCCAGCTTAACCTGTCCATCGCCGGCCACGCCCAGTGCGGCAGCTACATGCGGAGCTTCAACTTGCCGCTGCTCCTTCTCGTCGGCGGCGGATACACCGGCCGTCAACCACGTCGCCGCCTGCTGGTGATACGAGACGGCGGTGGCCATCGGCAAGGAGATCGACGACAACATACCGGTGCACTGCTACGACACCTACTACAGTAGCCAAGGCTACAAGCTCCATTACCCGGTGGACAAGGGACGCGAGAACAAAAACTCGAAAACCTACATACAACGCACGATGAGCGCGGTCAAGCAGAACCTCTCCCATCTCGAGGCGGCGCCGAGCGTGCAGTTCCAGGATCCGCCTGGGCCCGGCGGAAGCGGGAGCATCGATACCGAGCCGCTCTTCTACGAACAGGCCCCGCGAGAAGACGACGACCCCATGGAGAGGCTGCATCGGCTTTGTGGCGAGAGGGAGGAGCGCTGCTTCTTCAGAGAGTTGGGCGAGAAGCGACAGGTAGCCAAGGATAGAGAAAATGGCGGTCATCACCAGACGTCTCGGCCCGAACCGGTAAAAAAGCACCGACACGAAAAGTTCCATTTTAAATGCTGAGGAGATCGAGTCGTTGATTCTTTCTTTCTCAAGCTAATGTATGGAACTACACGCTACGTTCGACTCTCTCAAGAACGAATTAAAAGGCGTATTTTATTTTGACTAGCAAACGGCATTTCAAGTTTTCAACGAAAATAAAAACTATCAAATGTTCAGAACAGAAATAGGAATAATGCATATCTATTTATGTTTTGCCATTTCAATAAAACTTTAAATCTATAATTTATTTTATGATGATCAAAGGATACATAATACAAATTAATGTTGATAATAATATGATAATATACTATTAATTCTATATCGAATTAAAATATATCCTTGATATATCTTTTCTTTCGTGCAAACTGCAAACCACAAAAATATTTACTTATAAATATCATAAAAACAAACTTTTCATACTATTTGTGGATAAAGATTCTCCACACACTCAGCGTACCGTAGCGACCGAGCCTAATTTCGGAAGCACATAGAAAAGTAATGCAAAATTTTTACTTCACTCATACAAAGGAAAATACTCACGGCAGATAGCTTGCAACTAAGAGAATGCCACATCACGAAACTTGTGTCATGTGTAATGGATCACTGGAAACCGGCCTACACTTATATTTGCTTTACCTGCATGCAACTAAGAGAATGACCACATCAGGAAAATTGTGTCATGTATAATGGACTGCTGGAAACCGGATTGCACTTATATTTGCTTTTTACCCTTTTGCCAAAATTGCTTGGAACAAGTTTTGACTTGGGAACACTTCGATGTGGAACTAGTCTAGCCCCTTTTGCCAAAATTGTTTGGAACCAAGTTTTGACTTGGGAACACTTCGATGTGGAACTAGTCTAGCATGATGTTGACCCCCTTGGAGAGCAGCCTTTGGTGTAAGGCGCTCGAAGGGTTCTGAAGGATCAATAGCGGTACTTCAACTATATGGTCATCTACGGTAGGATTTTTTTTTTAAACAACTCCAAAACGACACACCAAGCGGGGCAGTCTTCAAATTTTCCCTAAAAGATGCAAAAGATATCGACCTACGCAAGAGACGTTTGTTGATGTACAGTAGACCAACTGGTTCCTCGAGTTTTGCTGATTCCCCTTCTAAGGTTTCAGGGCACGAATTCTCTAGGATGCTCCCTAAAAACTTTGATCCTTGCTGTTTGTAAACTGTCTATCCTCTTTTAATTGAAAGAAGGAATTCTGCCATCTTTTTTAAAAAAAAATGCTGCCAAAAGTCTGCGATAAAGAAGTGTTTTCAAATTTAAAATACTAGCAAATTCAGACACGCAATCACGCTTAACTGGAGTAAATGCCGAGCGTGCGAGTGACGAGGACGTGGGGGTGGAGACGAGGAGCCGTCGATCAGATGAGTCTTCAAATACAGTAACGAATCTTTATAAAAAAAATTAACTTGTTCAAGTCGAACTGACACATGTAGAGTCCTAAAAAATTACAACAATAGCTAGACTAGAAATAACATCACAACTCATATTACAGTTCCAAAGTTAACCTAAAGCAACAGAAGACTAAGTAGCCAAAACCAGTTGCCACCCAAAGAATGTTCTTTCAGGTATCATATACCATGCCATGAAGACCGCCACCAAAGCACATGAACTGGAGGGTGAATTTCAAAGAAAATGACCAGTTTCAGACAAGGCGACTTACGTGCGTTAGTCAATGGTGCTCATTTGTACAGTGATATGCCACGGTTGATGACAGAACAATCACTTGCTTATTGTACAGTAGTTTGCTTCAGACTATCTTGTGGCAGCTGAGCACACATGAAGCAAGATCAATGCCCAGGCTACACTCTACAGAGTTTTCAGTTCACAAGTAATTGCTCTGATCAGCTCAGTCCAACATGTTGCTAATTCACTCGCTTGCTTGGGCTGCATCAGTTTTCTTTGCATCAACATCCTCGTCAGGAGCTTCCTTGACTGGTTGCTGCACACCAGTGTCATGGGCAACTTGTTCAGAAGAAGCTTCAGAGTTGGCAGGCTCACTACCATTAACAGGAGCTGGCAAAGCTACAGAGACAGAACTGTCCAAAGATGATTCGTCCGGTTCATCCACTGTTCTTTCTGCCTCTAATGGTTCATCTACTGTTTTCTCTGCCACTATCTCAACTGATGGGGCTGAAGATTCTGCTGCAGCAGAGGCAGCCTCGTCTGTACATATGTTGGTATCGTTATTTGAAGCATCTGGATGCCGATCCATCCCTTCTGTATTTTTCAATCGCTCATCCTCAGTACAACAATTTGGCTGTTCAGTACACTCTGCTACATCTTTTACCTCCTCGGCACTACCATTTCCAAGATATACTGTTTCCATTTCATCCTCGGTGCCAATGACTTTACCATCATCAGCTTCCTCGGTCTCTAGTGAAGTCTCCTCAGAATTGGGGGATGATGAAGGAACAGAAGCAGATGAACGGTCATCAAGGCCTCTCTCTCCATCAAATGTGAACCAGTTTGAATTTGTAAAGAGGGAGCTGCTTATAAACACATAGATGCATAATTTATCAGCCATCACATAAAAACTAAGGGTGACAGAACATTTCAAGATAGCAAATTACCCGTCCTGATCATCTCCCAGACGCAAAGAAGATATTACCACCTCAGCTGATTCATCATCAAAATACACATCCTGAAAGAGAATGAAGAAAAACAGTCCACTAAGATATGGGAGAAGTTCAACCTTTTTCTACGTGAGCAAAAACAATAGAACAGGTTAATTATGTCTCTCCTTTCTACATAAAAAGCTGATTGCATCAAAATCTTTCATATTCAGGAAACTGCAGCTATCACATTGCATGTTACAACTAAAATGAGCAGGATAGCAATAAACAAGACATAGTTCGCCCTCAAGTTACCTCATCATCTCGTTCAAGTGATCCTTGTGCCTGCATTGACAAAACCAACATGTATCACTAATATGTAGCAGTACTCTAGAATGAGTACATTTACGAGAAAATTACAAAAGCAAACATGAAATGGTTAGCATCATCATACAGCTGATTGACTTTGCTTATATGAGATACAGGGGAACCAATCTATTCCCCTCAGGACAAGTACATTAAAAAATAGACGCTGGGAAATAAGTATGCCAGTAGCAACAAGCTATTTACTCTAAAAGCTATCACCTCTTCAATGTCATCATTGCTGTATATCCCATAACGAAATGCCTGACTTAAGTTATTAGCAAGAGCTGCCACGTCGTAATCCCTGTCCCGGAAATCATCATCATCACTGTCCCTACCACGGTCATGTAATGATGTCGGGCGCCTGTCGCAGCAAAGCAATGTCAGCAATGTTTAGACAAGCGAAAGCAACCGATAGCAGATATAGGATACAAGAAAACAGAACATACCCGCAAGCCCAATGATAAACATTCTCCACTTCATTGCGTTTGACCAACACATTTGTTTGCCATTCAACCCACTCATTATTTTCCTATTAAAACAAAAGAAATAATCAAACACAATAGTCAGCAGAAAACCACGTATATCCTAAGCCAAAAGATTTGTCAAAGGAAAGTTAACCTGTAAGTAAGCCTGTATTGTGTTGTTACTGTTGCCCAACTGAATAAGCTTATTGGCTATTCTTGTCATGTGACCAACATTTCCAATTCTTGGAGGGGTTTTCCCTTCAGAGGGAACAGTAGGCTGAGCATAGAAGACACACAAGATGAAAAAGGAATTAGGTTGCTAGGATAAAGTAAAAAAAGGTTACAGTGTATTGATAACTTACCCCATTAGACTCAGTCGACAAAGATGAAAGCCTTTCTGAAACAAGAATTTTACCAACAATATCACATTCATGAAGAACATGCTCAACAACTTCAGGTCTTTTACCCTCCAGGCAAGAAACAATTATATTCTCAACATGATGGTGCAAAAAGTTGTTATATGGATACCTGTGTGTTACAAAAAAAAATATATAAAAAGGGGGCTTTTGACAGGAGAAACAAAAGAGTTCCAAAAAATAATATCCACACTTACTCAAAGAACAAATTAATCGAGCGCTTTATTGCTGACTGCCTTATTAGCTCTTTTTCAGCAGTTTCACTTCCAATTGTAAGCAGCACAGAGATGAATTCTACAATCTGAAAAAAAAAATACAAGATTAAATGCAGTTTAGCACCAAAATGAACAAGAAAAATGGCAGGCACAATAACATTGACAAAATAAAAACCAATAAAATGTCATCTAGTGGAAGACACTCGCACTTGTGCCATCAAAACACACACATGTATGCCATGGATAGACCCACTAGCATGTATCCAACTAAAGTGAGTCCAAATAAAGTGAGGCACATATCCAATCCAAACCACTAGCATGTGCAGGACATCCAATCCAATCCAGTCCATTACCACATCAATCCAATCATCCAAATAATTCCCAATGACGACAGGGTTGGCCACGTGATGGCGTCACAGCCAGGGGCCTGGAAGCCAAAGGCGCAGGCATGCACGCCGCAGAAGGTGGCACCATAGTGGCACGTGGACCCTGTCAGGCACATGCGCTTTCCGGCAGCTGCCAGCACCTGCTCGCCTTGGCACCTGCAGAGTCTGTCACCAAAGGCTTTAGCTCAGGAGAGACCACGTACATAGCTGCGCCCCGCGACCACCACACCACCGAAGAGGAAGACTGGAAGGTTGACAGGGCGGGAGGTTCCGGCACCACACCTGCTGGCTGCTGCTTGTTCAGGTTGCAATAGCACTTGGAGCCGGGGTCTAGCATGTTGGGGTTGCCAAAGAAGCCGCAGCTGTTGGCGCACAGGTGGTGGCCCTCCTACCACCTCCGCTATTGCTCCTCCGCCATGGCCGCCGGACCAAATTGAGGAAGCACAAGTATCAAGTATGGCTGGGTTGAGGTGGGGTGGGGGAACGAGAAGCGGAGGGCGGAACGGATTAAAAAGCCATAAGCGTAAATGTGTGCCGGCCTAACAAAGTGATGAACCCATGATATGCCGGCGGCCGGAGGATGCTGCTGCCGAGGGGGAGGAGGGTGGCAACAAGTGGACGCAGCTGCTGCCCGGTAACAAGTGGCTGCTGCCACCACCAATGTGTCCAACGAAGTCCAATGGACTTGTGGATATTTCCTTCTGGTATCCAAATGCATCAGATTGTTCTGGGTCTCGTGGCAATGGATATCTGGATCCAAACAGCATTCATCCAATTAAATCCAATGCAGGTTGAGCCCATTTGGATTTTGGATAATCCAAGTCCATTGTCAGGTCTAGCCATGGATAGGTTCTCTATCGGCCTTTTTCGTCAATGTCCAGGGACCCATATACATGGTCAGGACTCAGTACACTGATGAGATGTGCTTGAGGTATGTTTGCTTCGCAATATAGACAAGCAAATGCTAACACAGCCTCGATCTTTCCAGAAGCATCATTAAGTTGATCCAGGTGGCCAAAATCTAGCACCTGTGCTAGATGACAGCACCCTAAATGATCTTAGTTGACACATTAACACATTGTCCTTCACCTCAGTCTGCAGTGAAGTGAAATCCAGGGTCCTGAGCTGCTATGTGGAGCCACACCAGCAATGATCTCCATCGTTCAAAGCCATGCTGTCACGCACAGAGCCTTCTTAGCCTCCATGAAGGTGCTTAATGAACCATTCTTGATACTGTACATAGAGGTACAAAGCTGTGTTCCGGTATAAAGCTGTGTTCCTTGCTTGATGCTTTTCTATTTTTTACAGATCCAAGGATCCTTTTTCTCTTTTAGTATTCAACTGCTCAAGGCTTAGGAAAGAAGCATATAGAGAGGATGAGGGAGATGGATCGGATAGGAGTGAATCACTGTAATTTCGATTGAATATTTGTAGTACTGTTTTTCTTGAAGAGCCACTCAATACTCAAGCACTTCAACTGATCTTTCTTTAGTTAAAAGGCACAAAAACATAAATAAATAAAGGAAATTTATATTTAACCATTCTTGGGCACAAGGCAACAAAAACGGAACCAACCAAACATCTCACCCACAATAATGTCCAGAAAAAGTAGAAAATTATAGCAAAACTATGGTGAGCATAGATAAGTAAAAAATAAAACTGAATATATGTAACATGTAAATCCGTTCATATGAGAAACAAAGAGTTTATGCAATAGGATTTGGTCACTGAAGTCCATGGTTAATTGTAAAAGGGCAGTGCATCATCTTGTACCTTCAGACGGTGTTTTCCGAGAGGTGGGCGCACGTATCCATAAGTTGTTGGCAACACGCTTTCAGCAGCCGAAGTGTCCAATAACTTCAGCAAGTTGCCTAAAAACTTATGTCAGTCATACCGATAAATCAACGAATAAAGAATATGAAACGGTGTCTAGCATATATTTCTAAGGCCAAGAAATTATGAAGCAAGATAGTATATGATTTCCTAATAAGGCCTATAAATTATGAAGCAAGATGTCCCAAACCAAATAAACATGCATGAAATATCCAACACTCACCTAAACTCTCAAGCATACCATCAACTGTCTCTGGACTGGCCGTGACCAACGCCCCATGACTTAAGTTACTTCTGAATGCTTGATATGAAGCTGATGCTAGTCTTTTCGGATCCAGCAACGATATGCACACTGACAGTGAATGAACCAGAACAGATTTGGGTCTTGATTCTTCAAGAGCATGATGGAACAACCTCCCAACAAAACTATAATTTTCATAGAACATAACAAAAAAAAAAGACTTGAGTCATGAGGAGGGAATTAAACAATGAAATGCCCACTTGTATGGGGTGAGGTTTCTACAGATATACAGTTACTGCATTTTAGACCTCTTTATAACTCATGGAGCATACTTTTCAGTACACTACACAAGATATGTACATTGTTTCTTGACAAAAAAAATTCTCAAATGAGTAACTTGTGACAGTAGAATGAAGTTAGAACTTAGAATACCTTGGACTGCATATTTTCGCAGCAAGAGATGGAGGTGCACACCGAGTAACTGCACATAGAATTTCCGCAGCATTGGCATGCACTTCAGGAGAATCCTGCTTGGCAATAATACACATGAACTTTTCTGCTAGGAAACATTTCTACCACGATCTTTCTTGCAACATAGAATGTACTTGGGCAGTAATAGTGTTAACACTACAATATTTATGGGAGGAGAAAGTATGTATATCCCCGTCAAATGTCATAAGTCTAATTTTCACCCTCAACTATCAAAGATGGTATTTAATAATCTATGAAAAGTATGTATTCCAGAACAAGAAAAATCTCCCAAAAATAAAATCCCAGTACAAATAACCCCCCTAACACTATCAGTTGGTTTTGCTGCTAACATACCACCCTAATTGGCTCACATGCTTACTAAGGCATTTAAGTTTTCTTAGTTATAGGGGGAAAAAAGATATCCCCTCATTTACCATTCCACCTTCATTCTACCTCAGCTGGGAGAATCAAACACATTGGCCACCTATGGAGCTATACAAGCAACTTCTCTCATCTACACACCTCAGCTCCTCTGAGCCAGCATCAGCAACTGGTCAGGTTGCATTGAATGAAACAGCAGAAAAGAATGATCAAGCAGAAATGGTGCATCCAGATTCAACAATGTGTCGTTGTACATGTTTCAAGGTTCACCTATGCCAATTTGGTTGCACCGGTAACTGAATCAAGCTATCAGAAAGGTCATTAAGGATATCTAGATATGTGTGCAATTTGATAGGGAGTCAAATCGACAGGGAGACTATCAATTTGAGAAGAAATGACAATGATTTATGGCTTATCTGCAAGGTGCATTAGGGAAATATAGTAACAGAGGAGACTAGGAAGAAATGATTGTTCATGGAATGGGCTTTCAATACTCCCTCCGCCCCAAAACGTTAAGCCTATTTTATAAGGGAAAAGTACGCATAAAATAGATTTTGACCCTTAATTTCTCTTATAATATATTGTCATGTGAGCAAAAATCAATATCACCTCAGAGGCATTTTGAATACAAATCTATTGATGCAGGTTCTGTCTTAAACTTGTACATAATTTGAATAATTGTTGGTCAAGGTTTACAAAATTTGTCTTTTCCCTATACAAAGTATGCTTATCATTCCAGGAAGGAGGGAGTATTTATTTTAATTGGGTGTCCAAGTCAACGCATAGTGTATTCCTACATGGAAAAGCAACCTACAAAAACTGTTACAACTTATAAGAGCCTAGCCTACCTATCTATGATAAGGCACTAAACCATATAGTGCATAACCAAAGCACTGCCTGTAAAACTAGATTAGAAATGAAGGTTTCATAAATTTTAGATGTTTGGAGGGTTAAAGAAATCTATTTTCCAGTTTTCAATATGTTTAGTGTTATGCAGGTTGTTTCCTTGTTACTTTTATTGTATAAATTGAGATGGTCACTATTATTTTATGTCATAGAGGTAAGAACATTTCAAATGGATGCTAAGTTTCTGTTTCTGAGCAGAACAGTAAATCAAATACTCCCTCCATTCCAAATTATAAGACGTTTTGGCATTTCTAGATACACTATTTTTACTATGTATCTAGACATAGTGTATATCTAAGTGCATAGCAAAAGCTATGTATCTAGAAAAGCCAAAACGGAATGGAGGGAGTATATTACTAAAATAGGAATTTATGCTTGCAATTTCCTGACAAACAATGTCACCATCGCTTATGTCCTAAATATATTCCTGTGCATTAGAGCTTTTAACTTACCGACGAGCTAAACTTATCTGCAATCATTTCAAGGACATCTGTATTTTCTAACCACTGCAACGTATCACCATAGTTTGAATATATGGCCTCATCAGCACCAATCAGTCGTATCAGCACCTAAAGAATTCAGGGGACAACATCAACCAAATGCACCCAACAATTCATTAATTAATTAAAAAATAATTCATGATAAACTTACCTCCATTATCGATGTGATGCCAATCAGGTCAACAAGCTGGACAACTATCTCTGGATGCCCCTATAAAAAGCAATAACAAAGGTCCCATAAATCCATTTAAATGTTGAGTTTAACAGAAACTATTAGCTTGTAGACACAGTGAAAGGGTACCACAATTTTGCTTAAGCAAATTTCATACAGGCAAGAGTATAGGCGAAAGCTAAACCGAGTGTTAAAAGACTAGCAAGTAAACAAACCATGTGAACTTAAAAACATGAGAGAAGGAGAAGTGTGATGCAAGACTTTGTATTTAAATACATAAAATAAATTATCCTTTTCACAAAAGGATACGAGGAATACCTGAACATAACTCATCAGTGGAGCAGTCTTCCGCAGCATCAAACATATTACCACCTACAATACATAATTATATAATTTAACTGAATTCAGCCTCAGCACAAAAACTACAGAATGAAGTCTAGCTCCAAAATGACAAGCTTCTCCAAAAGACTTAACACTATCTGATGATTCAGATAAACCAGGTTCTCTTTAACAACGTGGCTAACAAGTGCAGCATGTCGTGTCTAGCTGGCGCTTCTGCCCTCCAGGTGCTCCTCATGAGGTCACTCACCCCTGACCTTTGATGGTCTAGTGGGTTGAGAGGGTTGTAGTTGAGTGTTTTTGTTTCTGGGACTTGGTTTTTCTATACCCATGGAGTAGGGTGTGTGATGCAGGGTGGAGGCATAACATCTCTCCTGTTCTCTGTACACTTGGTACAGTTTATTTCATCTATCTTAATGTCATGTCGTGCAGTTCTCCTTTGTTATTATTTGAGAAAAAATGATTCAGATTGACTAAGTTACCTTACTGAAGTAACCAGACAATAATGTATTATGCGGATGATCAGGTTTCACAAATGAGAAAAGCAAGTCCATTAGCTGCAACACAGACAGGGAGAAAAGGAAAATAAAGTAAGCTATAATGCAATAATCTACAGCTAGAAATTTTCCAAGGAAAAACTTCAAAGGGCAAATATATGACGAGAATGCCAACCTCTTCATCCTCTACTAGGGTCCTCAAAATGACATCGATTTCGCAAGTAAATATTTCACAAGCAATAAAAGGGAACCTACAAGAAGTTTAAATGAATGGGAACTTCAGAGTTTTACATAAAATGACAACACTAGTGATCAATGGTCATACTTGAAAGAGCGCTTCCTTTCAGCATCCTCTGGAACTTCTTCCACAACATAACGAAGCAACTGTTCCACCTGGGCCTTGTCACGTAAGCTACACATAGCAATTCAAGTTACATACAGGGAAATCAGTACTATTGGGTAAACTAAACACTATCATGTGCAATGCTCAAGAAAGGAAACCCGGATATAAGGTTTATAATAATTCATACAGCAATATCCTCCAACAAGAAAATGTGTTCTGATCCACTATGTTCAGTAATAATGAACTACTCCCACCAGTGTGCACATAATGTTTCAGACAGAATGATTGAATTGGTCTGAAATGTCATGTAAAAGTGAGTAGAGGTAGTAACACATTTTGGCCCAGAGACAAAAGCATACTTCTTTGCAGATAATACAAACTAAATATATAACAGTACCAGATAAGTGCATAAAAACACAATTATATCATATAAGCATACTTATTGATTATTATTATTCTCTAATATGCATTTCATTTGCCGCCACAACCACTCCACTGTATGCCTCAGAAGTCAGAAGTAAAGTTATAATAAGACAGCTCACACAAAAATTAAATACTAAGTTAAGTTTCATCAGTAGATTGAATATGCTGCTCATATCATAGAAATCAATAAGAAAATTACAAGTTTATGAGTCGCGAGTTCAGTGCTTTGCACTCCTGAATAATTTCATCCTCGTCAAGAAGTTCTTCCAATGTAAAATTTTCTTTGTCCAGAATTGTATCCACCTGTGGAAAAAAATAGAACACTAAGTTAGCACAATTAAGAACCTCTTTATAATAATAAATGAGGAAGAAGAAAAGACAAGGCCTCCATGGTTCAAGCTATTTGCAATGACTATTGAAAGAATAAGAATGATTCAATATTCGGAAGGACATATTGCAATGGTAAACTATTCCAGCGTGAAATGCAAATCCTTTCTGCAGCAGCAACAGTGCCCGATGCATAACAAACAACTGTCCACAGCAAAAGCTCATAAAACAGAATGCCACAAGCAAAAGCTCATAAAACAGAATGCCACAAGATAATGGGTTCAGCATAACAAAAGAAACAAAGCCTCCTCTTTGCCATAAAATGAAACTGCTGTCACACACAGATGATTCAGTCCTCCCAAAACCTAAACCCAACCAGAACCAAGGCATATCATTCCTTTCAGCAGCACACGCTATCATCCCACTGGCACCCTCAAATCCACGGGAACAGCATACACGTACTCATCAACGCAAAAAGCACACATCCCGCAGCCACAGCGCACTCGTGCACTAATTCCAGCACGGAGCTCCAAGGAAAATACTCAAAAATAAGCGAGCATTACAACCCAACAGCCGAATCCAGAATCCAATCCACCGACCCAATCCAAAACAAGCAAACAACCAAATAAACCACACCCACAGCTCTCAGTCACAGCGCCGTGCGCCCACGCTCCCGACCTGAGAGATGCAGCAGAGGAAGGAGGAACTCACGGGCGAGGCCGCGGAGAGGCCGGTCATGCGCCAGAACATGGCGGCGGCGGCGGTGAGACGAGCGGCGGCGGCGGATCTAGGGTTTGGGGGCGCCGGGGAGCGCGAATCTGAGGGCGGGTCCACGCGAATCCGAGCAGCGGCGGCCGAATTGCCCGGCCGCGGAGGGCGGGTCGGATCGGGAGAGCAGGCGAGCGGATCGAATTGGGATCGCGAGATGGGGGAGGGAGGCGCACGCTCGCACACACACGAGAGGATGAAAAAAGAGCACGCTTTTCTATTTGGCTTCCGTTTCCTTCCTCCGTTTGGGGAAAAGTTGATTTGGGCTGGATTGGAGTTAATTGGGATTGGTTTTGGTCTTTAGCCATCTAAAGCGTTCTGTTCTGCGACCGGGCGCTGTTACTTTCATCGAGGCAGGTGGCCGGTGGCAGACAGGTGAAGGATTTGGAGAGTTCTGGCTGGGTTCCTCTTCGATGTTCCTTCCATGTTTACATGTTGTCCGATTAATCGTGATTAATCATGATTAGTCGGTCTCGTCGGTACCATGATCTCGATTAGAGACTTCGATTTAATTAGCTTGACTAGAAACTTGGTCGTCCGACTAGTCGACTACTAATCACGATTAATCATCCGATCATAGGGTGCACGACCAGGCTGGGCACTGCTTTCTTTGGGCTTGCCTGATTGGGCTTCCAGGTGAGTAGTTGGGCTGCCAATTTGGCTCACTAGGGTCTGTAATATATATACAGGAGGCCGTTGCTCTGTTCTTTCTCTCTTCTTCTCTCCTGTGCGTGACAACTGCTGCTGCTATGCTCTTTCTCTCTTCTCCTCTCAACGCGCCTCCAGTCTTCCCCGTGCGCCTCCAGTCGTCGTTCTTCGTGATGAGCTGCTCCGACGACGGTATGTGCCTTTCCCCTCTCCATCTTCTTCCCTCCTCCCCCATTCCTCACTCTGCAGCCCCTCTGGCTCTCTGCTAAACTGCTAGGTTGCTTGTTATGATGTACTGATGTTCCTCTGCTATTCTCTGGCTTTCCATCGTCCATTCTAAGAAGTTGTTCTTCTACAGATGTGGACCGATGATGTGCAAATGTGGAAGTGTACATGCCTCTGCCTGATCTTGAAGGAGGTGTTCCAGACTCATCAGTTGGGTCAGATCCTGCTACCACGGCTTCCTCATCTACTCTGGAAGATATTCCTTCCCTAATTGAGAGAGATATAACAAAACTACCTCCAGATCTTGCTGCCCAAGCTGTTGATAAAAAGAGAAAGGCAAGATCTCAAGACCCAGGATGGAAGTATGGGTGGTGGCCAGATCCTTCCAAGGACTTTGTGCAGTGCATATTTTGCAGGAAGGTAGTCCCAGCCAGAATATGCAGATTCAAGCAGCAACTTGCTGGGGGTATGGAGATGCAATAAAATGTCCTAATACTCCAGCAATAATTAGGAAAGAGATAGATGTTTACCTGAAAAAGAGTTCAAAGATTGTTCTTGTGGAGGTACCTGCAGAAGATGAAGATAAACAAGATGTTGTTGGTGCAAAAGAACTTGCAGTTGTACCAGTACCAAGTTCTGGAACAAAAATTAAGCAAGCCAAGAAGAAGATTGCTCAAGCTGCCATCACTTCTTTCACTATATCTGCTGCAGCAAAACCAGCAACTCAAAAATAGTCCAGGTCAGTGAGTTCCATGCTTTGCAAGTCATCAGAAGAAGTAGTTACAGAGAGGCACAAATCTAAGCAAAGTCAACCTACACTTGAGCAGTGCACAAAGAAAAATAAGGAGGCCAAAGTAATTATTGATGATTATGTTGCCGATTTCTTTTATGAGAATCGCATTCCATTGAACGTCATTAATTCAAGAAGCTAGAAAGTTTTGCTTGAGTCAATTGGACAATATGGTCCTGGGTACCGCTCACCATCATATCATGATGTTAGGACTCCGCTGCTTGAAAGAGTTGTGAACAAAACAACGAAGTTGAGGAAGAAGCATGAGGAGGCTTGGAAGGAATATGGTTGCACCATAATATCCGATGGGTGGACTGACACAAGCCACCGCCATCTCATCAATTTCCTTGCTAACAGTCTAGCAGGGACTTTCTTTCTAGGGTCTGTTGATGCTTCAAGTGAGATAGCAAATGCGAATATGTTGGCTGGCTTGTTGGAGAAGCAAATTGATAAGGTTGGGAAGGAACACGTGGTGCAGATTGTCACTAACAATGGAGCTAACTTCAAGGCAGCAGGGAGGCTTTTAATGGAGAGGATCCCGCATCTATTTTGGACACCATGTGCAGCCCATTGCTTGGATTTGTTGTTGGAGGATATTGGGAAGATCAAGGAATTCCACATTTGCATCAACATGGCACAGAATGTGACCAGATTCATGTACAAACATGGGAGGGTTCTAGATCTAATACGAAATAAGATTGGAAGAGATCTTGTGAGGCCAACTGTAACTCGCTTTGCCACTTCATTTCTCACATTGGCAAGCCTGCATAAGAATAGGAGTGGATTGAGGAATTTAGCGGTTAGTGATGAATGGCATGCTACCAGTTTCTCTACCACTCAAGAAGCCCCGTGAGTTGAGAACATTATCCTTTCAATGCCATTTTGGAATAAAGTGAAATTATGCCTAAGAGCTTCACAACCACTTCTTATAGCTCTAAGGATAGCAGATGGAGATGAGACACCAGCAGCTCCTAAGATTATGGTAGCCATGGATGTTGCAAAAGGCCGCAATCAAGGATTCTTTGCAACATAAACCAGATTTACTCAAAGAGGTACTAAAATACTATGACAACAGATGGGAAAATCAAATGGAGCAGCAGTTGTATGGAGCAGCCCTTCTTTGCCCTAAATGAAAAGGATAGGAGACAAGCAGGAAGGCTGAGAATCATGTTTAATCAAGTTATGTGGAAGATGGTGACTGATGATGAGGAGCAGAATAAGATAAGCAAGCAGACAAAAGACTATGAGAGGGCTGAAGGTGAATCCTTCTCACAACCAGGAGCAATAAGAGACAGAGATAGAAAAAATTCTAGTAAGTTCTCTAATAACTATTTCATTCCCTTTTTCTAAAAGCAATCAACAATGAACTAATAATGGAATTCTATGTTTGAAATGGAATTATGGAAATTATAGTGCTTTGGTGGGGTGCATATGGTGGCCTCACATATGAGCTCCAATGTTTAGCAAAAAGGATTGTTAGCCTTTGTTGCGCTGTATCTGGATGTGAGCGTAGTTGGAGTGAATTTTCTGCTGTAAGTGTTAGTAAGTGTTAGTGTACTACTGCTGAGTAATTAAGTATGGTAGTAAACTAGTAATATTGATGTGTGATTCTGCATTATATTTTGTATAGGTCCATACAAGAAAGAGAAATTGATTAGAGCACCAAAGGTTAAAAAAACTCGACCGGGGGGGGTTAAGACTGCCCCCGCAGCATTTCAAATAAGAAGAAGGACCTTCTCACTTGTAACAACCCAAAAATCCACACACCAAAAATCACAACTACAAAAATTTTGCTGTTACCCCATGCAATGTTGAGTGACATCTGTAGGAGCCAACCCTAGATGTTGCATTAGATGTAACCCAACTAAGCAATTTCATGAGCATGGCATGTCATTTATTAACTATGTTTATTTAAAATACTGACAAATAGAATGTAGCATACATTGTTAATTCAAATGGTGATTTAGATTTCCATTTGCTTTTTGTAATGCTTAACAACTCCTTTAAAGTAATAAACCATAAAGTAAATATTAATCAAACTAAAGAATAAAGGCTTAAAGTGAAAACTATTTATATTTTTGTACAACAAAACTACAACTATTTTTGTCACACAAAATAGCTAAATAAAGTCCCTAAGATATAAAAGAGTGTTGTGGGCCTCACATCTAAAAAAATCCAATGAATAAGGTACACCAGATTTGAATTCAAACTCCAAATCAAATTTGAATTCAAATAAAGAAGAAGAAAAATAAAACAGAAAAGAAGAAAAGGAAGAAGGAAGCCTCGCAGTTAGCCCAGGCTTGTTTCGGCTTTTATGCCCAACCCCACCAACCAACCAACCGCTTTTCACCCCACATACAAGACGCTGCCCATGAGCTTGCCCAAGACACCGCCACGCCCACGCGCCTTCTTCCCGCTTGCCGCCGCTTCTCATCGTCACGGACCCCACCTGCCGCCTTTTCTGTTCAAACTGCCGCGCATGATCGGGGCCGACAGCGATGGCACGAGTGGGCCAGGGGTCACGCCCGGGGCATGGCCCTTGTTCCCCCTTGCGCCGTGCTCATGCAACTTCACGCCACCGTCGGATGCGTCGTGCGCCTTTCCACCGCATGATGCCGATCGCCATTGGAGGCATGGAGCTTGGCTATAAAAGAGACCCTAGAGCCTTAGCATCTCCCTCTCAACCACGCCGCCGCCGTGCGGTATCCGCCAGACCACCCAGCACGAGGGCTGAGGGGAGAAGAGGAACAAAGAGGGCGGAGACGCTGCCAGGAGGAGGACCGGGAGCACGCTGAAGTTTGGAGCGCCGCCGCGGATCAAGTCGGAGCGTATCGCGAGCCGGCGCCATCGTGATCGCCATCGCGCGTCGATCACATCGCATCGCTTAGCCTCGCTGAAAGCACAGTAGCGGTGAGCACCCACCGAGAACCCTCCTAGCCCCATGGACGCCGTAGCAGAGCACACGCACGTCGCGCTCACGACGCCGCCATCATGGCGCGGCCACCACTGGCGCACCCGGCCGCCTCGCCGAACTAGGACGTAGTTGTAGCACCACCGTGACGCCCGGAGGTTAGCCACGTAGACCGAGACCCCAATAGCCGGCCACAGCACCCTGGCCACGAGCACCGGACCTCGGCCGGAGCTCCACCGTGCACCACCACCGCTCACGGACTCGCCACGCCTTTTGTTCATTGTCGGCAGATTTCACCGTCGCCCTAGCCAGCCGAACGGGAATGAGGCACCGGGACCCCTAGAGCAGCCCCTACTAGTCGCCGCACCGCGAAAGCAGCACCGCCACAACCTAGCCGCCCACCACCGTGACTAACGCCAGGAAGCCACGCCACCATCTAGACCCCGCCATCGTGTTCGCCGAGGCTGGTGAAGCTTTTCCCCACCTCAATTGGACTGGACACCAGCCGCCAGAAGAGCTCATTGGAGAGCATATCACCGGCGGGAGCACGCCGGGGAAGGAAGCAGAGGATCCCCCGCCCAGCACGCCGCACTTTGCACCGGTGTACATGGACCAAAGCCGGAGGAAGAAGCATAGACTCGGCCCATCAAGACTCCAGACCCTACGGTCCATGGACCGTGAACGCCAGTCCACCGTGAACCACGCAGTGTGGGCCGAGCTGTGGACGAAGGCCAGTGGAGGCCCATGGCAACGACGTGGCAGCGCCATAGCATGCCACGTGTCCGAGCCGGCCCGGCCCAGACCGGCCCAACCCGAGCCCGTTTGAGACCCAGTCCAAGTTGATCGTTGACCGGTCCACGTTGACGGTTGACCTAGCCCCACATGTCAGCGACACAGAGGCTCGGGACCCACATGTCAGTAAGTGACGTCATGCTGACGTCACGCGGGTCCCACCTGTCAGTAGCAACACAGCCGAGGTGATGTCATGATGACGTCACGGTGATGTCAGCTGCTGACGTCAGCAGCCCTGGCCCCACACGTCAGTGAATGTGACCCGTTGACCGTTGACTCACCCGTTGACTTGACGTTGACTTTGATCGGACCCACATGTCAGCGACCCAAGAGCCCCTGGTCCCACCAGTCGGAACGGATGACGTTGATGACGTCATGCTGACATCAGCAAAACCCCCACTTGTCAGCTCAGAGCCGAGCCGATGATGTCATGCTAACGTCATGCCGACGTCAGCATGCCACGTGGACCAGTCACAGCGTGACACGTGTCAGCCCAGGATTAATTCAGCCTTTTCCCATTTTCACAGATGATTTAATCTTCGGAAATTCATAACTAATTCATACGACCTCAGAAAAATATGAAACTAGGACCAAAATTCATCTAAAATCAAGCTCTACGCAATGAACCCATGTTTGAGTGCATTTAGCTCTTTTGAATTTTCATTGCTTCTTTGTGCTATTCTATAGACATTGCTATCGCGATTATAATGCGATTGTTTGTAGACTCGGAGGAGAACCAGACGGACGAGGACCGAGAGTACCGTGAGGAGTACGAAGACGACTACACTGAAGGTGCCACATCCCACCCAACCTCGTAGCCCCTATTACGCATGGCTAATATAGAAGTGCTATTGCTTTACTTTGTTGTTATAATCACACTATGATAGGACTTGCATGATAGTATGCTTTCTTGATAGCCTTTACCTTGATGCAACCTTACCCCTGCTCACCCTGCTGTTAGGCTAGTCACACGCTTGCTATTATATTTCATTGCTTATTACTTCTACTACGCTTGCACTACATTGATGCGTGGTGGAAACTGGTGTTATCTGGACTATAGGGAGAGTGCTGTGTGTGTGACTTGGGTGCGTGGAGGGTGAGGGTTGTGTCGACTAAGTTGGAGTATACGACGAGCCTGGGGCAAGTCTTGCCGTGGGGTGCTACCTGGGCACCCCTGGAATGGATACCTGTGGTGGGTAAATGATATATGAGGTGGCCCTGGGTGTGAACCTGTGATGGGAGGAGCCCAGGGTGGAGGTGCTGTGGTGGCACGGTAAATGAAAACCCTGATGAAGACATTCTGGCTTGGTCATCCCTAAGGACTTACTAGTACTCAGATTCACCAGGAAGCCTTACGTACCACTCGCCCTATATGGTGCGGGACGACCGGACTACTGGGTAGGATATTACCACTACCGCTAGGTTGATAGCGGACAGTGTACGGGGCGCGGAGGATTTCCCCCACATCCTTCCGAGACTTCATGGAGACCTTGTGGACCCGGCTCATGACTCACAGTTTTAGCCACCCCAGACTAGACTTGGGGTGTACCAGGGTTGAATGGTAGAGTGGCATTATCCTAGGCTAGCAAGTGGCCGGAATCAGCCCAGTTGACGACGGTCAGCGAGGAAGGCGGATCTTGTGGTTATGTAAAACATCTGTAGAGTGTATGGTTGATCGATCGATACATATGCCGACTTGTCGGCTATGAACCTTTCCTAGGTTTCGCTTAAACTAGATAGTGAGATGAGTCCTTTTCTTCTTCCCCTGGGAATGAGTGTTCGGACGTAGCCAGGGGCTACGGGCCTTGAGACAATGCCGAGAGGGAGTTGGCCTGTCGACTGAGCGAGGGTATGGTTGTGGTATGGTGATGGTGTGGAGATGGTGGTGTATCGATCCCAGGATCGAAACCTGGCTCTAGACGGAAATAGGGTGGAATGGGGGTGTGAATGGTGTTAAAACTTGACCAACTATTATTATGTACTTGATATGCTAATACATAAGAAACCCCAGCCTTATAGGTTCCTTTTGATTATATCCAACTTTCATCCAATTTCCACAAAGCAATGCTCATAGGGTGGGAGTGGCCAGTACATATCGTACTGATAAATTTTGGCACACAGGTTCTGCTGAGGAGTATAGCTCCGAGGAG